TGTACTTTCTGTTTGTAGTTCACCCAGAAGTTAATTAATAAGAGACTTTTACATGGTTGAGCAGGTGGGTCTTTTTGTCCCTGTTTTTGTCAGCAAATTCTAGTTCACTGCATTACACTCGGGGATTCTTCCTGATTCATGAAAGTTGCTGATATTTTGTTTGTGACCTAATACGCTACTGCCTTCTGTAATTTTGTCATGGGCACTGCTTTTTATCAGGGCCTCCAGTTCCACAGATGTCCTTTAGAGCTGGCCATTGTGTTTTCAGATCTACCTTATTTTGTACTCCACTTGGTCTTAGGCTAGAAGTGGTGTTGAGTCTAGCGTTACCAATGTCTTCTGCCTATGCGTCCTCACAGCGTTACTTTTTGCTTCACAAATATGGTTCCTGCGATATTTGGGAGATAAATGTTGACATTAGTGCTGTGGATTGTGATTTAGCATTAGAAGTGTCCTTTTGTCATGTTTAATGCTTTTGACTTGAATTCCACTTTGTGTGATACCACAATTTCCATCCCAGCTCTAGTCTGCATCCATTCCCTGCAATGCTTTCGCCTGTCCCTCCCCTGACGCTCGCTAGCACTGCTCCTCTGTCTTCCATGTGGGTTTCTTGGAGAGCTTTGTTCCCATGAAGCCTGCAATGGAGCAGGGGGTGGAGTAGGAGGTTGAGCAGCCCCAGAACTTGGTCATTTTCTTCTTCGACTCAGTTATTTTGCAATTTCTCTTGAAGCACAGCTGAGGGTGCACTTTGCATAGACTTTTTATAACTATGAAATCTATTCCACATACTTCCGGGAAGAAGCTTTGGGAGGTTGATTATTGCATGGCCACCACAGTTTTCAGCTACCCAGAAATCCATCAGTTTCCAATTCAATAAAAACATCTTCATAACATTATTTTAATGGTTATGTACTATTTCAAGGAGTATGTATAATAATCTGAATAAGCAATATTCAAATATTAGACACAGCTTTTTCCATTCAGCTAATGCCACAATTGTTAATTCCATCTACTTTTACAGACTTAGCAGATATTCAATAAATATTTGTTGAGTAGATGAACAGAGGAAGGAGTAAAAGTTTTGCAGGATGGGATGGGCTGAGACACTAGTCTAAACTTGGAGTAGGCTCCAAAGGATGAGATGGGACAAGGTGGCTCACTGGGGTGGTCTGAGCTCAGGGACAGGACTGAGCCAAAGTCTTAAGGAATGTGTTTGGTCATAGAGAGGACTATGAAGAAGAAACAAATCCCAGCCTTGGGAGCTGAGACAGAAGGCAGAACTTCACCAAAACAGAGCAAGAATAATGCAAAGGAGTTCTTCTAACTGAGCCACTGGGAACAGGCTCAGAGCCTTTGCCCAGTCACTCCAAGCCCTTGACCTCATGGTGCGTGGGTAGAATTATTCTTGTAGAGAATGGTGTCAGGATGTACAGATGTTAAGAATAAATCACATCAAGTAAAAAACGTTAAAGTTTTCCTATTTCCATACTCACACCACACACACACACACACACACACACACACACACACACACACACAGCGTTGTTGAACCAAAGATCTCAAAGTGGTAAGAAAAAGCTTAGAAGTATGTACTAATAGGCTGGCTAAGATATATAAAGTGAAAACAAGAGATTGCTTTAACTTTTACCATGATTGTTTGTAAAGGTAAGTTTCCAAATGGCAGAAAATTGAATAAAAGTTATCATTTTTCACCATTTTTGGAAAGTTGTTTTAATTTTTGTTTATGATTATCAGAGGCATTTATGGAAAAGTACCTAAGTTTTTCTTATGGCCCCTCTGGCTTTTTCTATTCAAGGAGTTGTCAAAGCTGGTATATTTTATTTTATTTTATTTTATTTTATTTTATTTTATTTTAACATTGGAAAGGGTCATGAATTGTCAGGGTTATACAGTGAAACTAAATAAAGAAAGATTACACCAAAAAGTAGTACAGCAAACTTTACCATAGTTTTGTCCAGTCCTTCCTTTACAAAACCATATCTGTAGAGGCAGAATACATATTTCCTTTTTGTAAAAAACTTTTGTTTTCAAATGCTATTATCTGAAATTAAAGATGTAATGAGAAAAAAAATTGCTAATGAAGCATATTGTAGGTAAGAAAGAATTTGATGACATTTTCACTAGAAAAACCCTTCACCATCTTCACAAATTTAATTAATCAGATCATAAAACCATTAAATTTCCCTTTTTTCTGCAAATCCTTCATTAAAAGTGATATTGTCCTAAATATTGTTGAAAATAGTTATTTTCCTAGCAACAATGTAGAATATTTATTTCTTAAAGGCCTCTGCTGCAAAACATAATTACTTGCTAAACTCTAATCAATGTCCAGTGAGATTACAAAAATTGGCAGACTACTAGGAAAAGTTAAAAGATTAACTGCAATCATTGTAGGCTTGTTATCACTTGAAAAACAGTGCAATTTCCTCAGAGATGGAAATCATTTAAACTGAAATGAAAATGGAACGCAATGCACCTATGTGCCCTCCTCAGGCTCCTCCCCCTGCAGTGCCCCGCCCTTTCCTCAGGGAACCCTGGGCTCCCTCTGCAGGTCATCTGGGCATAGGCCCCCCTGGTGCTGTCCTCCTTTCAGAGGACAGACCATGCATTCTTCGCTGTGACTCCTATCAAATGCAGTCCCTGCTCTTCCCCAGCACTTACCTAACTGTCCTGAAACTAGGTTTACCTGCTTTTCTCTCTAGTGAACCATGAACTCCTGCAAGCTGTGAGCTAGCACAGAATCTTGTGCATAAAAATATGCAATAATTTGTGTGGATGGAAGAGACTAATTTTCTTGTGTTTTCTTTGAGTAAGTGTTCATATTACTTTATTATTTGTACGTAGGATGCAAATAGACTAGTTTGGTGAATATTTCATCCGTGTACATGAAATAATTGTTACAGAAAAAATCAGCCACTTAAGAATAAGCTTAACTTCTTTTTTTTTTCTTTTTTTTTTTTTTTGCTACCGGAAATCAAACTCGGGACCTTGTGCTTGCGAGGCAGGTACTTATGCCGCTGAGCTACACCCCTGGCCCAAGCTTGACCTCTTCAACAAACCTTCTATATGATCTGGCAAACAAACCTACAGTCAACAAAAGAGTGAACTAATTACTGAGAAATAATTTGTTCTTTCCTCGATTTGACAGATATCATTGTATTCTTGATTCAAAGCAAATCAAGATTTATTCAGTAAATATTTAAGATATGTTAGGGACCAAGGAATAAGAAACAGTGGTATAGTGGTACAGTGGAAAGAAACAGAAAATACATACAATTATCAAAAAATAAAGCCAGGCCTTCTTAAAGGAAAAGAAATTGGGAAAATGAACTGAAGTTCCTAACTCCCTCTCTCACCAAAACTATTTATTTGTGTGTTTAAGAATCACTGGGGAGTTTTGAAGTATAAATTACTAAAATTGCATAAGAATACTTCAGATACCAAGTCCAACATTGATTAAAACATTAATTAAAAAGCTTTATTTCTTCCAGGTACCAATACTTTTGATGAGTACTATAAGAGACATCAGGGGTACACATACAAAGATTCTAAGATATGACCCATTTTCTCAAGTACATAGGGCTAGGATATTTTTTGTTTGTTTGTTTGTTTTCATTTGTTTGTTTTTCATTTTTCTTCCGGTACCGGGAATTGAACTCATGACTTTGCGCTTGCCAGGCAGGCGTTTTGCCGCTGAGCTAAATCCCCAGCCCCTAGGGCTAGGATAAAGTGGGAAAATCTTAGTTGCTTTATCAAATGAGAAAGTTGTGATTGAGAAGCGTACATTTATGTTATTGCCTGGGTTGGAAAGTTTAGAAGAACAAAGAGAAATGGAGAAACACATAAAGATGAAGGATTGGGGTCGGTTGACAACTGGGTGAAACAGCAAGAGTGGTAACAAACTGAACATGATGTCGTACATGTCAGAGGGCACAGTGCTCCCATTTCCTGGCATAAGGCAGACGCAAATTGATCACGTGCAGAGTAAATTAACACGTTGGAAAGCGTTGGGTCTAGAGCTCAGGTGAAGGGACCGCATCTGGAGGCAAAAAGGCAATAGAAAGAAAGCATGAAGAAGATAAACACGTGTCATGGACAAAGCCAAGGAACTAGAGTGCCCTTGGTGATGCCTGCATTGCCCATGGGAGGGAAGTGAGGCTCTGTTCTGGGTGTACTAGCAGAAGACAGAGGCTCTGATTCATCTTCTAGGCGAACTTGGACCACTCAAAGGAGCTATTTGGAAGCTGGTTTTCACAAACCTCACATTTCCTCATGCAAACTTCTCAGTTGCTTAATACACAAAAGAATACAAATTTAATTATGAGTAGAATGATTATAAAGACATTTCTCATCTAACAGCCAAGCTACATTCCTGCACAACTTGGTTGTTAAATGATTTGTTTGCTAAGTGAAGAATTGTATATAATACATACATTACAATATTCAGAACAAAGAATGATCAAAGAAAACTCCAACTGATCACTTCACTTTTATGTGCATAGCTCTTACTTGCAGCAAATTGCAGTACTGTCCTGTACAGTATAATCAGCAAAAGTTACAGTACTGTAGTGTAGAAGAAGCCACCATCACGCTGCACTGCTGCTCATAAATCTGAGCAGCTCGTCATAAGTCCGAACAGCACACCTTGGTTGTAAGTCTGAACAGTTGTTAAACATGTAGGTCATTAAACAAGGAATGTCTGCATTATTTTCATCAAACTTTTAAAATATGAAAAAATTAACTTTTAAATAATGTATTCTTGCATCTGTTTAATGAAGATTAGCACATTTGCAAAATTAATTTTAATTATAGATGTAAATTTTAAACATTCAAAGATTAATCAGTGATTCAGTAAAGCTATTGGTAACAAGTCATAAGTGTTCAGTTACTAGATGACAGAGCATGTGTGAAAATAGCCATTTTAACCACACTGCTTATGGTGAACACTTTGCAATAAACTATTTTAACTGATTCTTTAGGTCCCAAAATGGTGGAGGTCCAGAGTCAGCAGTTTCAGATCAACTCAAAAGATGGCAAGCCGCTGTTCACCGTCGATGACAAGGAAGTTGCAGTTGGCACAGATAAGCTTCGAGTAACTGGTAGGTATCAATCAAAATTCTTTTCATACTCTTCTAGAAGGAGGAAATCTTCCTTGCATGTCTTCACCCACTCTTTTCTTCTACCATACTGGTACCCTTTATCTCTTTCCAATTGGTGTAATACTAAGCATTATCATATAGTCTTCTACTTTCTCTGTAACTCAAGTATCTAATTTTTTTTATTCCAAGTGTACTGAGCATGTGTATTCTCTGTATTTCTACAAAAACAAAAACAAAACATAACTTGTTCAGCTAAAAGTGGAACAGACTTCTTGTAGCATGGCCTTTTAGGACTAAAAACAAATTTTAGAGGAAAATATCTTGGAACATTTTCTAAATTCATTTGCTGAACTTCTGTAAAGGCATAGTTTTTTAATATAGCCCAGCATTTTTTAACACTATTCTGAAAAACAATAGCAACATTGCTCACTCATACAATATCACTCCCAAATAAAACAGTTTCCTGGCCCAGGAATTAAAAAGTAAACTCAACCCTAATACAAAGTTTTGTGTATTATATATATGCAGCAGGTAATTACATATGTATATATATGTATATATATATATAAATATGTAATTCTTTAAAAACAAAAAACTATAAAAACCATAATCTAATGTTGCAGCTTGCTCTAAGGCAGTGTCCCTGGGTTTCTAACTAAAGTGAAGGCCCTAGGAAATCTAATTATATGAATTGATCATGCTTAATAAATAAACGACCAAGAGACTCAAGTGCCTCTGTCAGCAGAAACCCACTGGTGCACAGGAGTGGCCTCCTCTGTCTTAGGACAGTTCAACCTAATTCTTAGACTTTACAGTGGTGCATTCAGTAGAAACCATACGTGGAAGTAAGTTCAAATTTTGATCTTTTTTCTGGATTCAGGATGATGATCCCACCCTTTCCTGTGCTGCTGGGTGGGAGGGAGAACCTCCGTCTCCAGTTACTTCCCAGAAAATCATTGCCACTCTACAGTATGCTGAGCTGCTGAGGTCAGATGGTCAGCAGCTGAGGTACATCAAACGCACTTCCACTTTGGATGTTTTCAGCTGAGGCTGGGTTTATTGGGACACAAGCCCTCATGAGTCAGGGAACATCTGTCAAGGAAATAAGGACTTCATTGATCTAGATTCTAATTGTGCTTCAATGACAGCTGCATGGCCTCTCGCAAGTTGCTTGGTCTCCTTAGGTATTTCCTCAGTTTTAAGAATATATTGATGAAGTATACTCTACTGTCATTGCCAGATTAATACATTAGTGTTAATACATTGTATTACACTAATACATTAGTGTATGTGAAGGACATTATAGTTTTTGGTAAAGTATTGCCTTGCAATGTAATAAAATTTGTAAGACAAACAATCTAAACAACTTTGTTTCTACAAGAGAATCAGTAAGTGAACTTTCTCCTCCTGGCCCAGGCCTCCATTCGGGCTATTGCATCACTGATAGAACAGATGAGAAGAGCAACTGTGTTATCCATCACCTGCATGCAGGCATCAGAACCACCTGCATGTCTTATTGTATTATATTCCCATCTACTGCCTTCCTCTTCAGATCTGATTCAGCAGGTCTGAATTGGATCTTAGGAATCTATCAAATTCCCAGGAAATGCTGGTGTTTCACACTTTGAGAAGCAGAGCCCTACACTAGTTTGACCAGAATCAACAGGAGCAACATGTAAACCTTCTCTCTAGGAGTTACACTCAAGTTATCCTTCTATAAAACAAATCATAGCCTTCTCTTTTATAAGTTTTTTGTTGTTGCTGTTCTAAAGCACAGGATTCCCCTAATGTCCCCCTCCTCTCCAGCAAAGTTAACTAAAATAAATGTACCCTCCACCTCAAAAGACTGTTCTTTACTTGTCCTTGTGCCATTGGAATAATATAAAGTTCTTGTTGCCATGGCAACCACAAATGGTTTAGGATCAGACTTCACCTCTTCTCAGTTTTTCTTTTTTCTTTTCTTTAAGAGCAGAACATATTTATTGCAGGAAAGACTGTTTCTGTCCGAGTGAGAGACAGAAGGGGACCCGAGCAGGTTGCCAAGGAACCTGCCTTTCCTAGGGATTTTGATAGAGCACAGCGATGAGGTGAGAAGAGTCCAAGGTGGGAAACATGGGAACTCACAAGGTGGGCTGAGGTGGGACAAAACTATGGTCAGCCAGTAAGAGTACCAGTATAACTGTTCAGGTGAAATTGATTAAATCAGGATCAAATGGGGAACTGAGTCATGTAACAAGCAGACACGAATGCAGAACAGGGGCTTTTCCTGTAAGGGCTCGAGTAAGTGACTCTTCCTGGCTTTTTCAAGGTGATTGATACCTATTTAGAATTTCAATCTCTGATGTCAGAGATCCCCTAGGCAGGGATGTGGGTACATTTGTTTAATCTTTTGTCTTGAGGTCTGGCCCACGAGGGAAGTATCTGCCTCTCCCACAGTTGCAAGGTATCTTGTCTTCCACATTGACTCCTTCAGAGGCCTGGCCCTGTCTGACATCCTATATTTCCATCTAACTCAGCTGCCTACAACATTCCGCCCTCCAAAGAAGCATCCTGAAGTGCCTTGAGGGAATAATGGGCGATGACTGCTCTGGCTTCTTCAGGCTGAAGGGGTTGTAGTTGTTGATCAGCAGTCAGAGACACCTCCAGAGAGTCATCTTGGGTAGGCGTGTAGCTTTAAGTTTGGAGGAGACAAAGCCAAAGAAATAATTAAGAATGCAGGAGCCAAATAATAAGGTCAACAGAATAATTGTGAATACAGGCAACAAAGATTTCCACCAGGTGAAGCCAATAATGCTTCCCATAAAAGATAAGGATAAGGTCTAGGAAGTCTCTGAGGCTGACATGTTATTGATCTGTTATGTAATATCCTGACCAGTTATTGAGATATTAGCAGAAGGATCAGGAATGTACACACAACATTTAGTTTTCATAATTGTACAAGTACTTTCTTTACTAAAGTATCAAGTGAGCTAACTGAAGCAAAAGCTATCTTTTGTAGCTCTTTTTAACTATCTGGGGCTGACTGGGTAACAAATATGTCTTTAAGCAAAATCTGTCCTTCTATTGAATCCGGTGCTATGGACATATGTTTTACCAGTGCCTCTAGTAAATGTTCTAAGAAAGCAGAGGGGTTTTCATCTTTTTCCTGATAAATAGGTGAAAATTTAAAAATAACGAGAAGGCCTGGTTTTTATCCTCCTTAGACCTTCAGGAATACACACTTGAAAATGTCTCCTGCTCCAATCTCCTCTCTGGCTGTTAGGTCAGCAGAGATCTTGGGTAGGGACTGCTTGGGCTCCAGCAGGAACTGGTTGTTCCCCTGGCCATCCATCTTCTGGTTGTTTAAAATTAAAACTACGATATTTATTCCCAAATGTAATAGCAGCTTATAATGCTGCTTGTCTCTCATTAGAAACCATGTTTGATTTCAGACTAATATTATATCTTTCCAGCCTAGCCTATAGGTCTGAGTAAATCCTCTAAAGACATCAGTGTATTTATCAGGGTCATCTAAAAATTTTCTCAAGATCTAACTTTCTCTGTTTTCTCTGTTTTCAGAAAACAGAGAAAAAAAAGCACATGAACTCTGGAAGTTTTAAATTGTCCATTTACTTCTTATAAAGGATACTGTCCTTGAGGAGGTGGTCAAACTCTGCTAAGGATGGGTATAGCCCTGTAAAGGCCTGGATGACAGCCGGTCTAGAAGCCCCATGCTCTGGACTAGAAGGGGAAGTAGGGGAAAACTTAGATTCAGTAATGGTGGGTGAGGCTTTGATTAAGACTGTCTTGACCTCAGGCTCCAAAGATTGGGGAGGAGCAGCCTCAGGCTCTGGGATAGTAAATGCCTCACAAGCCTCAGGGGTCTGCTTTCCCTGTGGCTCACATCTACATTCTGAAACTAAATAAAGACTATTTCTTAATGCAAAGAAAATCTGAACATAAGGCATTTCTGATCATTTTCCTGCTTTTTTACAGTACCTTTCTAGCTGTAAAATGGCATCCTAATGAATACTTTTGGCTCTAGCAGGTAGGTAGGCCATACGAATGTGCAGAAAAATATTAAACAGCTCTTTTTTAATGCGTAAGGGTCAAACATTTTTGAGTGCTTAATGTTGCCCTCCAAAGGAGTAAGACACTTTGACTGTGACTCAAAAAGGAATAGCTGGGGCATCCCCTCCTTATTTCTAATTGATTTTTGTACCCTCAAGGCATCCCTCGGGTGGATTCCACTCCAGGGCAGGTGGATCCCATCTGGAGGGAGCAGAGGACAAAATCCGACCAGCCTATCCACCCTCGAACTGGCACGTGATTTTACCTCCCTGAAAGCTCATGAGCTGTGTGCTTACTCCTGTTGGACATTTACAAGCATAAATTGCAGTTGGTCTGGTGACAGCAATGTCTAAAGAAGGAAATATAACTTTGTAATAAACTATTGCTTTTTAGCTTTTTGGAAGAGGATATATAAAATGTAGTTAGAGCAATTCTCAGGCTACAAAGGTGTCACCTCCAGAGACAGGTAGAACTAATAACTGACTGGAGGCATTTTTCCCAGTGCACTAGGGCAAAGAAGTCTCCAGACGCTTGTTTTCTCCATTCCAGTCACTTAGGCAACCTTTCCTAGCAACAGGACAAGACTATGTTTTATTTAAATTTTTGAAGCTCTCAGGTTAAACTTGTATTTATCACCTACCAATCACATTTTACATGTTGGCAAAGGCACATTACTTAAGGCTGACTAAAATCTTTCTTACACTTAGCATAAATAAGGCACAAATGTAAATCATTCCTCTGTTAGCTGCTGTGAGATGTAAATTGTTGCAAGCTGCCTCAGCCTAATTTCTAAAGGGAGGGGTAGTTAAGTGGTTCTACTGAAAAGCTTAGGAAAAAATTTCTAGTTTACTAGCAGAGAGAGAAAGATAAATATGATAGATAAGTGGAGATTTTTCTGTGGTAAGAACAAGTTTCCACTGAGAAACCTTTGGGTATCCGCCAGAGAGTAG